TTAGTTCGACGTCGGCACAGAAACTGTCAAAACGTGTATAAAATCGAACAAAAAAAATAGCGGCGCGCATTCTATTCAAAAGTAAGTTTCGTGCTATATTTACTATAATTATTTAATATTGTGCTTATATTTCACTGTGTAAATAATCTGATACATTTATTTGACATTGATTATTATAATACTTTATTAATAAAGTTAATAAATAAAGTGGCCGAAAAGTGACACATAAAATTGTCCTACAATTTGGTTGTCGGCCATGCGGCCGAAAAGTAGCCCGAGTTTAGCCTAAATACTTTGTCTCTTTTATTTATTTGGTTACGTACTATAATTCATCTTTCTTACTTATATTGAAGCGTAGCGTGCATAGACACTAACTTTCAGTTTTCGGCCACCAAGTACTGCAATTTGGACAGCTAGTGATGAAACAAAAATACCCATTTCGGTCGTGGCCGAAAACTGGTTGTGACTCTAAAGTAATTATTTAGTTTTCGGCCAACTTAAAATTGTATGAAAGAATAAGGCGGCCGAAAATAGAATGGTGCTTTAGTTTACGTTTACGGAAATTTCATGAAATATTTCATTCACGTTGCGTTTTAGGAAGAAGATTCAATAAGACTTTTTTTCCTTCAGTGAAGAGAATTTCCTCCTCCAAAGAAATATAATAAGTAAATGGCTTCGGAAAATGCGGACTTTATTACATAAATCTCAATGCAGTGGATTACTCATTCATCATTCAAAAATTATTATAAAAAAAGATTTCTTTTGTAGCATCAATTAGTTATAAAAATGAAAACTACATTATATAAGCTACAAATTAACATAACAACACTAGGTCACCATAATGGAAATTATTTTTTATTGTACCTTAAAGTTGACAACTCCACTAAAAGTCCGAAAACCAGCGCAACGACCCTATTTTATATTAACTTATTTTATATTCCCGACGTTTCGAGGACTTAGCAGGACGCATGATCACGGGGGAGGGGGGAGGGGATGTGTCAACAGCTATCTCCAGATTAAAATTATTAATTTTTGTTCCCATCTAAATAAAATAATATAAAATCTAGTCAGTAAACATGTAAAGAAATCGTTTGAAAATTTGAACTAACACAGCTCTTTTTATATACATATGTATATATATTTTACATATGTATATGTATATGTATTATGTAAATATGCACTTATATAATATATTTAACCCTTTCTATTATGATTACAGCTGCACCGCTTCTTGTTTGTCTACTACTGTGTTTAGCTTAATGGTTTACAACACAATATATAATTGACGAATTGAAAGTTGTACTTTGTGTGTGCAAGTTTAAACAAATAAATCGTCAATGAGACCAGTTACTAAAAATAAAAACCTCTCTCAGTCCTCAGTCGTAACAGATGGGAAAATAATTAAAGGGGGTGCATTCAGAAAAATAAAACTAGGCCGCCACTTCATAATTCATGCAAGATGTGAGCTCCAAAGAAAGTTCAACTCAAAAAGTTATACATAGATTGTCAATGTGGTAGAGCTACGCTACAGTTATATTGTGGTTGTAGCACGTACTCACGGGGATACCAGCGTAAAATAGCAGCTTAATGCTGCTGTGTTTCATGTGGTGAGTGTAGAGAACCGGAAACTCTTTTCACTGGAAACGGGGCATTTTATCTCAGTCCTCAGGGGTAACAACGCATCTGCATTTTGATTCTTATTTGAGGATAAATGTGTACGTCTATGTGCCACAGCATACACAAACGAGCACACAGTCAGGTGGACTGTGTGCTCGTTTGTCACCCAATACTATAAAAAAATGTGAACTGCGAGTTTATCACGTTTATTCTAAACTCGCAGGTTGAAAGCTTGAAACCTAGGTGGCCAGCTAGGTATTAGTCAAACGACATATCCGTAAAATATTGTACCCCGTGGTATAGTGGTATAGCCAAGCTACATGACTGCGGTATTGTCAGCTCGACCGGAAAGTATCACGCTTTTACAGAGTGCCCGCGTGAATCATCGGAATAATGCTACTGTTTTGTGTGGACCTTACGACTGTAATTATTATGAATGCATGATATAATATAATATCTTTACTATATATAATATCTATACGTGGTAGAGCCATGCTGCAGTTATATTAGTCGTATAGTTGTAACACGAATGGGTCGGCTCGACAGCAACGCCGTCTTAGGCCATGCCGGGGCCCTTGGGCACACTAGAATTTGGGGCCCTGTTTGAAATTAAAAATCAAATAATATGTAATTTTTGAGGGCAATCACAACTTTTTCCGCCACAAGGCGCCACTTTACAATGGTAGGTAGGTAAAATATTTGTCAGATTTCATAGCGGGGACGATAATTTCTTAGGAAAATGTAAACTTTAATGTTTCTTTCCTAAACTTTTCTTCAAAAAATAAAACATGCTATAACAACATCAATATATGTATTCTATTTATTTCTTACATTAAAATTTAGGCTTCACTTGTCTAAAAATAAGGATCGTAACAATTATTATTTGCTATAAAAACTAATATTTGCGGTGGAAAATTATCATATTAATTAAATAATTTATCATTAAATATTTTGAAGTGTTATTTTTATTAAACAGTACGAAATTATATTTTTATCTCAGAGATTATATATATACATAGAATGCCGAAAAAAAATCAAGGCTATAAGTAAGGCGACTGTACAGCCCGACAAAAACGTTTAGATGGCGGCGAAACGCGGAACTACATATTTTCTACCTAGGAAATCTGTCAATGCCACCTTTTCTGGCTTACTCGGCAACGTGTGGCTTGTCGCTGCTCAAGGTTGCCAGAAAGTCACTAACAAAGCCCTCATTTACTCTATATTTTTTGTCAGGTTATATTTTCCTAAAATAGAAGAAAGATTGTGTAGCGTAAGCAAATAAAGCCGATGCCTTTCGTCACAGGGGCCCCGTGTGCCCTTATGGTAAAGACGGTACTGCTCGACAGGGGAAGGACCAAGCTCTCACAGAATACCAGCGTAAAATGGTAGCTTAATGCTGCTGTGTTTCGTATGGTGAGTGTAGAGAACCGGAGACCATTTTTACTGGAAACGAGGCATTGCATCTTAGTCCTCACGGGTGACTACGTATCTGCATTTCGATTCGTAATCGAGGATAGATGTAGATGTCTATGGGCCACAGCAACCAGTTACCATCAGGTGGACTGTGTGCTCGTTTGTCACTCTATCCTATAAAAAAAATCTTAAAAGAGCAGAGAGAAAACTGTTAATACGTAAGTCGGTCCATAACTAACTAAATAAATCGTTCGTAATCGATTTATTGGTACTAGTGGTGGACCAAGGAAAGGGAAGGCATACCAGGTTAATTAGGTAGGTTAGTTATACGTGGTAGAGCCACGCTGCAGTTATATTGTGGTTGTAGCACGAGTGTATTTGGCCCATAGACATCTTCATTTATCCTCGATTAAGAATGAAAACGCAGATGCGTTGTCACCCGTGAGGATTAAGATGGAAAGCCCAATTTCTAGTAAAACGGGTATCTGGATCTCTACACTCATTATACGAAACACAGCAGTACTAAGCTGCTATTTTACGCTGGTATTCTGTGAGTATACTATTATTTAACCTACTTATGTAAAATATAACATAGAAGAAGAATGATATGTCGTAAAGGAGTTTCACTTCGTACGCGTGTACACAATTACGCACAATTTTTTGTGTATGTGTTACGAGCACACAGTCCACCTGACGGTAAGTGGTTGCTGCGGCCCATAGACATTTACTCGATTACGAATCAGAATGCAGATGCGTTGTCACCCGTGAAGACTAAGATGGAGTGCCTCGTTTTCAGTAAAAAGCGTCTCCCGTTCTCTACTCTCACCATACGAACGAAACACAGCAGCATTAAGCTACTATTTTACGCTGGTATTCAAAATTTGCAGTTGGCTCAGGACCGTGCTCTGTGGCATTCCTTGAGGGGCTCTATGTTCAACAGTGGACTTGTGAAGATCTGTAATTATGATGGTGAATCGGTCAAATAATCCATCATTACTAAAATATTAAGGCGAGGATTTCCCACATTAAAGGCTTTTAGCGCTCCCTTCTCAGTTGCTTGCATGTTTGTGCAGCACGAAATACGCGTGCGACAAGTTCATTCCCAGCGATTAAATTATATTTTTTTTATATCGATCAATATAAAGTATTTTTAAAATGGATTCTATTAAGAATTTAATTGAATATGTTTTCATTAGTAGATAAACGGTACAGAGACAAAGCTTCTTAAGAACCTGTAAAATTGTTAACTGTTTTGGTAGGGCTGTCACAATAGGTGAAGTCAAATTTAACAAAACACACATACCTACTACATACCAACCGACCCACATACCTAAAAATGTTTAGTAAAAGCTTGTTATAACAATAAAAAGGTAAAAACACACCGTGTAGTAATCAAATATTTACTTACCTATTGTACTTCTTGGCATAGTTAAATTATGTTATATTTTTTTTTTTTTCTAGTATTATTCATACACACAGTACAATAAACAACCATTATTAATAATACCACGTTTTACATTAAATATTCAAACTTACAACCTACTAACAAAACAAACAACGTGAGTCGCACTGACCCTGAGATTGTCCACTGGCTGTGCCAGCGTAACCGGTTTTTTTCAGTCTCGCCGCGTACGCGACAAGCGGCCAGTGGTCACGCACACACGCCCCGCGTGCTTGTAGTAGTGCAACCGATTCGCGCGATTGTATGAAGCTTTATCTCTGTTTCGTCTATCTTCATGTGTTTATGTCCAACCTGGCCTTAACAACTTGTCTATATATCGTTACCCTTACAGGCTATCTTAAGTCCACGGCTGAACATAAACCTTCTATATAGATTGCTTTATAAAGATACTAGCTTGGCAAGTGGGTAATGGGCAAACGTTAAGAAGACGCTACTGCCCGTCTCCCAATTTGTCTCCCCCTGCCGCCTCCTACGACAGCGTGCTGATGATTTTTTGTGATATTGGCAGCGCTGGGCGGGTGTCGGTGATGCGGGCGGCGATGCGGCGCCGCACATGAGCCGGCTGCTCTGCTGCCTGCGCGCGCGCCGCCACGACATGGGCGCAGCGCTCTCCCACCACCAGGTACACTTAGATGCAAATATTTCTTTATATACTACAAGACGGGCACTACGATCTATTCCATATACATACCTATTCTCGCACCCTCCTATACACAGAACAGCGTGATGCACGTTAACACATCTTCCTACGCGTAGAAGTCACTTCGATGCAAAGATTTCTTTATATACTACAAGACGGGCACTACGATCTATTCCATATTTATAAATATTCTCGCACCCTCCTACACACATAACAGCGTGATACACGTTAACACATCTTCCTATGCGTAGAAGTCACTTCGATGCAAAGATTTCTTTATATACTACAAGACGGGCACTACGATCTATTACATATACATACATATTCTCGCACCCTCCTACACACAGAACAGCGTGATGCACGTTAACACATCTTCCTATGCGTAGAAGTCACTTCGATGCAAAGATTTCTTTATATACTACAAGACGGGCACTACGATCTATTCCATATACATACATATTCCTACATATGGAACAGCGTGACGCACGTTAACACATCTTACTCTACGTAGAAGTCACTTAGATGCAAAGATTTCTTTGTATACTACAAGACGGGCACTACGATCTATTCCATATACATACATATTCCTACATATGGAACAGCGTGACGCACGTTAACAAATCTTTCTATACGTAGAAGTCACTTAGATGCAAAGATTTCTTTGTATACTACAAGACGGGCACTACGATCTATTCCATATACATACATATTCCTACATATAGAACAGCGTGACGCACGTTAACACATCTTTCTATACGTAGAAGTCACTTAGATGCAAAGATTTCTTTGTATACTACAAGAAGGGCACTACGATCTATTCCATATACATACATATTCCTACATACGGAACAGCGTGACGCACGTTAACAGATCTTTCTATGCGTACAAGTTTCGACTGTAGCGTACAGACTATTATTTATACTACTAGACGGACACTAAGGTACTAATATATTGTACACAACGTTACGGTTAATTCTCCGTAATATCTTTAGTTGACTGCATAGAGTAGAGTAATATATACAGAAATAGAGAGCCATCTCCTAGGATTTTTTGTCACCCAATATGAATAGTGTCGCCGTCTGGTATCATATCCCTTGAACAAATCAATATTCTGATTATATATAGCTGGTATGTAGTTATATATATATATACAGCAATCTATAATATAGGCGGTTATATTTATATTTTAAGGGATTGGAGTTCAATTAAAGACGTATTATAGATTTCAGTAATACGAACATTTATTTTTGTTATATATAATATTTAACAAACGATGTAAAAGCGTCTATTCCGCAAAATACAACACCAAACCAAATTAAATATGTCCACCGGGTTACCGGAATGATAAATGAAAGCGTCTATTTCGCACAACACTACACAAACATACAATGTGGTTCCAGCATGAAAATCTAAACAGACAACAAGAAACAGAGGGCTAATCCCAACTCAACCAAACTTATTGTAGCAACAACCGACAATCACATAAATGGCAAAAGCGTTCTTGAAAACAACAACTTGCTCAGACGCCGGTAGCCATTACATTATGTCATTTAGAGTTGCTACTTGCCAGCTCGAAAATAACCGGAATTGCTGTAGTCGCCATTTAGCGCACCTTTTAGAATTTAATGTTAGAAAGTTTATGCGGATATCGTGTAAGATGACACTAGTGTCTTTGCAAATTATTAGACCCCAACCTAAAGTATGGAAGTGTACCCCCCCCCCCCCCGCTCGACTGCGAGCGTCCGAGAAGACTAGTTCTTTGTTGTGTAAACTGCGTACTGTTAGGAATGGCTTGCTTTGGATGCTTTTTAAAAAAGACAGTTTTTACTGCTGCAAAACTAATTTAATTTATTTGCACGTTGCCATTTTATCAGCTATAAGAAAGTCGTGTACCAAACAAAGGTTAGAGTTTGACTGCGTTAATTTAATGAACAATCACTTTTAAATACTTTACATAACGCTTACAATAGCAATTACTTACTTATACATCAGTTCATAACAGAACGTTGTTCTCGACAATCTAACACTGATTTTGTTAATTTAGTTAGTGACTAAGGAAACGCTTTTATTATTTATGTGCACACTTTGTCCATGTGATTAGAGATTTATTTCAGACAATTATGTAACTTTGATTCACTGCGTGGCATATTTACTAGAGCTAAGTTCGTTTTATATTCGGTATTCGGCATATTCGGCAGCTTTACCGAATATTCGTATTCGGCCGAATATACGGCCACTCTTATTGAAATGTACGAGTTGAATAATGCCATGTCTTAAAAGTATCTTGTATAGCGTTATGTTTTTGAGGCACTGTAGATTTAATTCCAATTATAGCAAATAGAAAGCTTGATAGAATGTTTTTAGAATCAAATAAAGAAACATTAGGTAGGTACATTAGTACATTTCACTTTACTTTGGTCATCAGTCTCTCTAAAATAAGTCCAAATAGTAGATCTCTGTACACCTGAGATACATTCTTATCCTAGTGCAGGTGCCTCTTTACTGTAGACTACTTTAAATTAAGACATTATTTGAATTAATTGTAGAGTTTATTCTTTATTAAATTATTATAATTGTATAAAGTAGCTGTGCCCGCGACTTCGTTCGCGTGGAATTAATACTTTGGTATGATAGCAATGATGCGACTGCCGGCCTGCCTGCTGTCGTGGCAATGGCAAATATCCTCTCTACTATCAGCAGTGGGCTATTGATAGGTTTTGATAGTTTGAACTCTTGTATCGTAACCGCTGTGTATTTGGACAGGAGGGCGAGTGCGACGGCACTGCAGAGCCGGTCGCCCCGCCCACCATGGCCGACGTCATCCGGTGAGTTTTTTTTTTTAAATATAGAATAATTGTTACAAACGACACAGTCCTCATCCATCAATCCTCGATTAAGAATTAAAATCCACTAGCGTTGTTACTCGTGAGAACTAAGATGGAATGCCTCGTTTATAGTAAAATGGGTCTCCGGTTCTCTACACTTACCATAAGAAACGCAGCAGCATTAAGTTGTTATTTTATACTCGTGTTCTGTGAGAGCGTGGTCCTACCCCGGTCGAGCCGACTCATTCGTGCTACAACCGTAATGAAAGAGCAGCATGGCTCTACCACGTACAAAGTGTTATTTTGTTATAATAATAATGTCCTCCAGAGCGTATTAAATCAGGAGACAAGTCCAAAGAAAACTAGCCCATCAGCGCAGGACAGGATTATAGTACACGAGCACGCATAAACACTGGTGGTGCAAATCTATCTCCTCTAGTCTATTCCCTCAATCCTATAGTCCTTTAGGCCAGCAATCCGATTCGACAAGAGAGAGATCAAACCCAGGACCAACAGCTTCACGTGCTTTCCGAAGCACTGGAGTTGAGAATACCACCAACTTTCTTATTCTAGATTGCTACATAGAATTTCGTCACAAAAGCAATAAAATTTTGCTTTTTTTATAAGAGAAAGGTGACAAACGAGCACATAGTTCACCTGATGATAAGTGGTTGCTGTGGCCCATAGACATCTACATCATTGTTCGATTACGAATCAAAATGCAGGTGCGTTGTCACTCATGGTTGATTTGGGTTTGAAGTTCAAGGCTCAAACTTAGAATCTGGGACCACGTAATTATTACAGACCAACAAGGTAGTTTGGCTATAATATTAGGGTGACGTTAAATAACATGATAGCTTTACGTGGCTCCATGTGGCCCTATGACTGTCGCACGAATGGGATGATTCGACCAGAGAGTATCAGCGTGAAATAGTAGCATAATACTGCTATGTTTTTTGTATAGTGAGTGAAGAGGAAGAGGAACGGTGACATTTTTTTTTAGTTTTTCATACAAAAACCTTAAACTTTTCTTCTGTATCGTGGATGCTGGTTATACGGAATAATTATTTGTATACCATACAAATACTCGTTCTGTGCGGGATTCGAATCCTGGGCCCTCAACCCATTTCGTGGCTATATTAGTTAATGGAGACTTGAAGTAAAGGTGATAATGAGCATACATTTTATCTAATGGTACGCAAGTGCCGCAATGTAAGCTATTATTGGAAAAAAAATAGTCCCGCTGGGTTTCTTGCTAGTTCTTCCTACGACGGAGGCTTTTTTGCGAAACAGTGATAAATAAAAAAGTGACTTTCAGTAAGTATTGTTACAATCTACATTAAATAAAAAAGTTTCTGTTTCTGTGTCTGCCGTGGCCCGTAGACACCTACAGCGTGGTTCTATCACGTATAATGCTGCTGGACAGATCCGGAGAGTGATGCATACCCAGAGGGATTAGATAGAACAGGAGCTCTAACAAGCTGAATAAAAATGGAGTTATAGTTTGTTGATTCGTTTCAAATGCATTTAACTTGTATAACCCGTGACAAGACATTGTGTGTCCTTAGGGAGCGGAAGAAGAAGGCCGGCGGTGCGGCTTTAGGCACGTTGAGGCGTCGCCTGGTCGCCGCCGCCAGGAGGCCGCGGGACGCGCGCCCCGACAGAGGTCAGTGCAGTCGCGACATTTACTAATATACAAACACATGTATGTATACTATTGTAAGAAGAAGGCCGGCGGTGCGGCTTTAGGCACGTTGAAGCGTCGCCTGGTCGCCGCCGCCAGGAAGCCGCGGGACGCGCGCCCCGACAGAGGTCAGTGCAGTCGCGATATTTACTAATATACAAACACATGTATGTATACTATTGTAAGAAGAAGGCCGGCGGTGCGGCTTTAGGCACGTTGAAGCGTCGCCTGGTCGCCGCCGCCAGGAAGCCGCGGGACGCGCGCCCCGACAGAGGTCAGTGCAGTCGCGATATTTACTAATATACAAACACATGTATGTATACTATTGTAAGAAGAAGGCCGGCGGTGCGGCTTTAGGCACGTTGAAGCGTCGCCTGGTCGCCGCCGCCAGGAAGCCGCGGGACGCGCGCCCCGACAGAGGTCAGTGCAGTCGCGATATTTACTAATATACAAACACATGTATGTATACTATTGTAAGAAGAAGGCCGGCGGTGCGGCTTTAGGCACGTTGAAGCGTCGCCTGGTCGCCGCCGTCAGGAAGCCGCGGGACGCGCGCCCCGACAGAGGTCAGTGCAGTCGCGACATTTACTAATATACAAACACTTGTATGTATAATATTGTAAGAACAAGGCCGGCGGTGCGGCTTTAGGCACGTTGAGGCGTCGCCTGGTCGCCGCCGCCAGGAAGCCGCGGGACGCGCGCCCCGACAGAGGTCAGTGCAGTCGCGATATTTACTAATATACAAACACATGTATGTATACTATTGTAAGAAAAAGGCCAGCGGTGCGGCTTTAGGCACGTTGAAGCGTCGCCTGGTCGCCGCCGCCGGGAGGCCGCGGGACGCGCGCCCCTACAGAGGTCAGTGCAGTCGCGATATTTACTAATATACAAACACATGTATGTATACTATTGTAAGAAAAAGGCCAGCGGTGCGGCTTTAGGCACGTTGAGGCGTCGCCTGGTCGCCGCCGCCAGGAGGCCGCGATACGCGCGCCCCGACAGAGGTCAGTGCAGTCGCGATATTTACTAATATACAAACACTTGTATGTATACTATTAGGTCGGCCACGTACATACGGAATTCCGTTTCGGGATTCTGAACGCAGCAAGTCCATATAAAATCAATGACCCGTCACACACCTACGGTAGTTGTCTGTTCGAAATTTTGCGGTCAAAACGGGATTACGTATGTGTCTGTGGCCGACCTGTTCCGTTTCGGAATTCTGTATGTGTTCGGCGGGCCTTAGACGGGCACTACGTTTTATATAACGGGCATGAGTCCGACTCTCGTACCTTTTACAAAGAGTCCGTATGCCTTGGGATGCCGCCTCCTTGGTTTAATACTCAAAGACTAAACTCTTATCAAAATTGCGCTATATTTTACAAAAATTTGGTTTCTAAAATGGTACTAATAGATTGCGCACAAAGTAACGCTTAATTCTCAGCAACTCCTTCAGTTGACTGCGAGCGGCCGAGAAGACTAGCTCTTTGTTTTGTAAACCGTGAACGTTGTTATCGACAATGTAACACTGATTTTGTTTAATTGAACCAAGAAAACGCTGTCATTATTTATGTGCTCGCTTTGTCAACGTGAATAGAAATTTATTTCAGGTAAGTGTGTAAACGTTAACTATCGTAAATGAAAATACAACATTTGGTTCTGAATTGCTGGTCTATTAGTTACAATAATATTGTATTAGAAGTATTATATATATATATATATATATATATATATATATATATATATATATATATATATATATATATTCTGATATTATGTTTTCTTCTAATTCATCAGCTCGTTATTCGAGCGCGGCGTCTTCTTCATAACAACTAAAAAATAAAAGGGCGATGCCTACCCGTTGCCAAGCGTAGCAATTATGGCAAATTCTCCCTATGAGGCCAATCTATGGGAGAGTGCTATGTTCAGCAGTGAACATTTATTACCTATAATAAAGTTGTTCCAGTGTACAGGTAGTACGTACGTCAAAGACACAATCAAGTTATCAGCATTACAATTAGATAAATGTTTTTGGGTGATTGTACAGAGGAAAAGTAGGAAGTTTAATGTGAAGTAAGTAGTTTTTCTTCTATGCAATTACACAAAAATAAAATTAAGCATTTCGCTGTCGTGTCAGTTACTTTGTACGAAGTATTACATTTAGAACGTGACTGAGGGCAGATTAATTGTTAATTAAGTTAATATTGAAATTTACAATAAAAATAAATAATTTAATAAAAAATGTTAATTTGTTTTTAAGTATGTCTTTGTAAAATTATCGATACTAGAGATGGAACGGATACGGTTGTTACGGATACCGGATACCGGATATTGGGCCAGTCTTATCACCGGACAGCCGGATTTGGTGCATCGCAAGAAGCGAAAAGTAAAGTCAGTGCAAATTGTTCGCCATCGTGACTCTTATAATTGGTGGGCAGGTATTGCCACACAATACCCGAATTAATCAAAGTTTGCGAAAATCGATCTTTCAGCACCCTGCAGAAGTGTGTACAGTGAAAGACTATTTTCTGAAGCTGGCCTTGTTTATGAAGACAGGCGAAACCGCTTCTTAACATTTAAAGCAGAGAAATAACTATTTATTTACCAAAATTTGCCCTTAGCTACGTAGTACAAAATTATTTATTTTGTGCCTTTAGCGCAGTACGAGTACTAATTTTGTAAGTGTTAAAATTAAAATTTTGTGATTAAGTGGCATAAATGAAGAAGGTTGACTAAATTTGATATTTTGTGGGTTCTTTTAAATCCGGTATCCGGCCGGATAGCTGTTTGTTATCCCGTATCCGGCCGGATAGTAATTTTAGGCCGGATAGGCGGAATACCGGATAGTTACCGGATATGCGTTTCGTCTCTAATCGATACCTACTTTTTATCCGATGCTACTCGTGAGGACAGTATCGATATTTTTGATTCTACACCGTGTCCCTAACCAATTTTTTTTATTTATCTGCCATATCCATTAGTTTGGTACGGTGATATAAGCTGCTCTAGTTCTTTATTATCATTTAACATTGCAATTTCTACACTTTGTTTTCGATCTATAAAATATGATTGTATCCAATTTAATACCGGTCCGCAAAGGTCAAGTTGTCTAGTTTGTATTGTAGAAGTTTGTTTGAAACGAAGTCATACACTCTACTCATATCTACGAACATTACTGAAATGTGATTTCTGTCGTCTAAATTATTAACAACATTTTTTACAAGATGAAAACATGCATGTGTAGTTGATTTATTGCTTTTGAATCCAAATTGTTCGTTTATTATTATATAAAATTTTGAGGTGAATTCCTTTATACTTTTTAATATTGCTTTATATTTTAGAGAGAGAGAGAGAGAGAAGTGTGATCTGATCATGAGATCCTGGGTTCGAATCCCGGGTCGGGTCAAAAAAATCAATTTTTGAAGTTTTCCGTCAAGAAAACCCTCGTGCCTAGGAAAGCATGTAAAACCGCCGGTCCTGCGCCTGATCTCTCTCCAGTCGTGTCGGTTTACTGTCCCATTGGATAATGAGAGTGAGGGAATAGAGAGTGCACCTGTGCTTGCGCACTACAATCCTGTCCTGCGCCGATGACTAGTCTCTAGAAATTTTACATTATATTTTAGAAAAATAGGCACTAAAGTTACCGAGTGATAATTTTTATCATCTTTTAGTATGATATTTTTCAATCTTCTTTATGGAGCGGCCTCACTATTCATTTCTGTAAAAGATCTGGAAAATTGCCATTACTAAATATACATATATATATATATAGTTCGGCCAAAGACCTTGTAGCTAGATCGATAATTAACTAGCAAAAAATCTAATAATACATACACTAGGTGGTCGGTGGTAATAATACATGGGTGGGTGCGGCGGGTGCGAGCACGTAAGTTGCCGTTAAGTGCCTAAAAAAGTTCCCAATATGATTTATCAACATATTGTGGGGAAATCACGTTGGATAATGTATAACTTAGCTTTGGTATATTCCTTTTGGCTAAAGGCCTTGTAGCCAACGGCATAAAAGATGAGAAAAAAGAAACATCCAATAATACGTGGTTGGTGGGTGGTGTGTTCGGTATGGCAGGGTGCGAGCACGCGCGCTTCATCAGGTCGGTGGTGAGCTCGTGGCGGCTGGCGGAGGTGTTCGTGCTGTGCGAGCAGCTGGAGGCGGGCGCCGCGCTGCGCGATCTGCTCGTGCAGGCCGAGCTGGCGCGCGAGCCGGCGCCCGCGCTGCACGCAGACCTGCTCGCTGCACTGCGCGACAGGTACACACACACTCAATTATTTACCACGTTATTCGATTTAAATTATTCTTCACAGACACACACACACACACACGCACGCACGCACGCACGCACGCACGCAAACACGCGTGTCCGCTGCGCCATGCGGCAGTCAGGAAGGTATTTTCTGTTAGGAACAGTTCCGCTAAATACCATTATTTCTAATTATTCATCGAAATGCTCTGTAGTGTAGTTGTCACCGCGACCAAGTCAGTCAGACGCAATGACGATAACGTGGGCAACTTCATTCTACATCTAATATTAGTTAGATGCAGACTGAAGTAACATAAGTGTCGTTTTTGAACATAAACCTTCTTCCACCACACCAACAAATTGGTCCTTCGAGCCCGCTTCGTGTAAGAATATCCACTAAATCATATAATTTCGTGGGTGTCATAAGATGCGACAAAAGAAAATTGAAATCGGTGTTGGGTGTCAGTATCTTCCTTAAAACAACTCAACATAACACAAAACTGAGGTTGGTAACCACCCAGCCAAGCGCAGCATCTATGGCGAAATCACTCCAATAAATAACAAGGCAAGTCAAGATATAGCATTAAGGAGTAAATGTAATTTGAAATATTATAATAATTTCATGAAAAGCAGGCGTTTGTGTGTGATTTCTGGTTATGTGAGCAGTGACTTTAACAATTGGTGTGATTGTTCGAAGTATAATTATACTTATACTTCGTACTATACTTCGTAGTACTTATACTCGAAGTGTAATTATACTTCGTATAATTATACTACAAACGTCACGCCAATTGTTAAAGCCACTGCTCACATAACCGCAAAACACACACTAACGCCTGCAAGCTTTTCATGAAATTATTGTAATATTTCAAGTACATTTACTCCATACTCCAAATTACATTTACTCTTTCAGTTATGTAATAATTTGTTCAGTTTCCTCGTAGTTAAGTGTTAATAAAACGAGGCAATTGTTAGGAGAGGCCGGTAGTCGGCAGTGGATTTTTAGGGACTGTAATAGTAACAAATTGGTCCTTCGATCCGGGTTGTAAATTAAAAGTGTATGGCGTGCAGGTGGTGGTGCGACGTGGAGCTGGTGGGCGCAGGCTGGTCACTGGCGGCACATCGTGCCATACTAGCCGCCAGGTGTTCGTACTTCAGGGAACTGCTGCAGAGGTATCCCAAGTAAGTACTTTGATTGTTTTATAGCATAACGGTAACAAACGAGCACACAGTCCATCTGATGGTAAGTGGATGCTGTGGCCCAGCAGTAGACATCTACATTTTTCCTCGAATAAGAATCAAAACACAGATGTGTTGTCCCCCCTGGGGACTGAGATGGAATGCTTTGTTGTCAGTAAAAAAGGGTCTGTGGATCTCTACACTCACCATACGAAGCACATCAGTATAAAGCTGCTATTTTACGCTGGTAATCTGTGGGAGCGTGGTCCTAACCCGGCCGAGCCGACCCATTCATGCTACAACCATAATATAGCTGTAGCGTGTCTCTACGGCGTATAGAAATAGGCTTTTGATGTTGTGTTAAAGAATTTAATATTGATTAGCTAGTAACGTTCAATTACCGCAGTTACAAAATGCACTAAGAAAGCAATAACGTATTCACAGTTTCACTGTACCATTTAATACATAAAATCGCACCTCTCTGACGTATCAAAATGAAGTTTAAACTATTTAAATAACTATAGGATAGAATAATTTTCATTTAATGTTGATTTATAAGATATTCTTACGTCCTTAAATTAGTTTATATTATGTAGTATGCAACTTGGACACTTTTGGGGTGGGGAAAAAAGCAGTGAATTCGCATGACCGCATGACCGTCACGATCAGATACATTACAAAAATAATGTTTAAAAGTTCGTTAAGCTTTGAAGTTTTCGCTTCTGTCATTCAGTCCTACGACTGACAGTTTTATTGTTTTTGGTTATAAAGCAACAATCAATCCGCGGTGTAGTTCCCGCCAAATCTTGCGTATTGTCATGTTGTTGTTTTTGCATTATAAAGTTGTTATTGTTGTTGTTGTTATTGCATAGTCAGGTTGTTGTTTGCAGCGGATGCCGCGTGCCGCTAGAGGGCGTGGGCGCGTCGCTGTCGAAGGAGGAGCTGCAAGCGAGCGTGCGCGCGCTCTACGCCGGGCCCGCCGCGCGGCGCGCCGCCTGCGACCTGTGCTCCAGTCAGTACACACACCCCCACACACACACACACACACACACACACACACACACACACACACACACAGACACACACACGCACACACAAACACAGACACGCACACACACTCACACACACACACACACACACACACACACACACACCGCACGCACACACAAACACACACACACACACACACACACACACACACAAACACACACAAACACACACACACACACACACACACACACACACACAAACAACAAACAAACAAACAAACACACACAAACACACACACACACACACACACACACACACACACACACACACACACACACACACACACACACACACACACAAACAAACAAACACATACACACATACACACACACACACACACACACACACACACACACACACACACACACACACACACACACACACACACACATAGTGCCATAGTGCTATAATACCATAGTGCCATAGTACCAAAAGACTACAGTACCACAGACTATAATATTACAATTCGCCAGCGAACCAGCTCCATTCTCCGCACACACCACAGTACCGCAATAACATAGTGCTTTAGTATCATAGTGCTGTAGTTAGCGTAGTACTGTTGTTCACGGTACTATAACATTACAGTACGAAAATACCGTAGTATTACATTACCAAGGTATCGTAGTACCACAGTTTTGTATATAGTACAACAGTACTATAATACCTCTGTACTGTAGTATCAACGTACTTTAATATAGCACAACAGTACCATAGTATGTACTCCAATGTTATAGTACCGGAGCATCATAGTACCGTGTTAATTTACGTTTTGGAGTCATGCTGAAGCTATGGTCGCAACATGAATGGTACGGGATCACTGTGTAAGTACGACCCTCTTACAGAATATCAGCGTAAAAAGGTATAGGTATAGGTAAGGCCATAGTTGATCGTTATGTGCTGTTTTTCAAATGGTGAAGATAGATAATGTCCTCCAGACCGAATTTCGGTCACGGCGGCCAGCCTCAACGCAGACTAGCCATCGGTGCAGGACAGGATTATAGTGCCCAAGTGTATGCGCAATCAACGGTGCCCTCCTTATTCCTTCACTCTCATAATCCGATGGGACGGTAAACCGCCACGACCGGAGGCAGATCAGGCGCAGTACCAACGGCTTTACCTGCTTTCCGAGGCACGGGGGTGTGACACCGTCAACTTGACTCCGAGCAGCTACTGAGAATTTCTTGACGGGAAAACTGAATTATTAATTTTTTTTGGCCCGGCCCGGGAATCGAACCCAGGATCTCATGATCAGCAGTCGCACTACTACAACCACGAGACCCACGAAACAAGATAGAATAGAGTAATTGAAGACTTTTTATTGGTAACGACGCATTGCATTTAAGTTCTCAAGGGTAAGAACGCATCTGCATTTTCACACTTAGGACAGAAGTAAGTCCCAATGGATCACACAAATTTTTCGCTGCTGGCATTGATTATGAAATGCCAATATGTATATTGCGTGTACCTTAGATAAATGCTGGAACATCATGAATGCCACATTGTTTTAGGCATAAGGGTGACAAGTGAGCACACAGTGTATCTGATGGAAAGTGGCTGCTGTGGCCCATAGAATTTTACATCTAATTAACAATCAAATTGCAGATGCGTTGTCTCCCGCGAGTATAGGATGGAATGCCTCGTATTCAGTCAAAAGCTTCGTCTTGCGAATGTTGCAAAAGGTGACTATGGGGACTACCAGAAATCCCTAACGAAATATAGTAATCTGCAGTCCACCGTCTGAACGTAGTTTCCCAACTATGGGAACTCAAGTCCAACAGTTGAGAAGACTATTTCAAATGTTAAATGCTTATTTACAGAATGGGAGAGGAATGCAAAAGTGGAGTCCGACCTAGACATCATAAGCGGGGAGAACACCGCTTGTAAGTGTTCAACGTTTTTAATTATCGTTAACGAAAACCGCCTACGTGTGGTCCTTCGAGCCGGATTAAGTTATAACGACTTTTGATACCTGTCGGTTTCGCAGATTAGACCTCCCACTGAGATGTTAGTAAAGATACAGCTTATGTAGGTCCTACCGACCTCCTCCCATGTCTGAGAGGGATTCAAGGCAAGGGAACGCATGCCTTTGATTGTGCTCGTTTGTCACCTTGGTACATAACTAACATGATCATTTATTTTTTTGACTCAAAACTGGACATTGGGATATTTAGGTCAATTAACAGGTAGTCAATATATATATATATATATATATATATATAAATTCGTAATATCAGAAACGTTTAGTTATATTTATATTTTTCACAGGAACAAATTTGCTTTAATATAGCTGGTGGTGATATTAAGTAAGAATCTAACTCTTGGCACCTTTTTTATATTCACCTAAATTATCAATAACGCCTTTAGAACTGAAATTTGTAGTTCGTCAAAAACTTCTGCATCTTTATTACAGTCAATATATTCCTTTTCAAGAACTTTTTAAATCTGCCCAATAGAATATCTCTATTTCTTTGGTAAGAAAGCAAATTAGTAAGAAAACGGGACAATTTTGCGTCCCGGAGATCATTTCGGGGGATACCGGGACTCGTAACTATAAAAAAGGGATGGTTCCGTTCAAAACGGGACATCTGGTCACGTTATACATAACCGTATATAGAATAGCTCCATACTACCACACGGAGCGTTGGTCGCTCTCCGGGCGTAATATCTTACCCAGCGGTAGATATTACCTAAAAATCACTGGTGCTGCAGGTCCGCAGTAGTGAACGTTGAAACTTTATCTAATTTTCAAATCACATCACTTAAAGACTTTTCTGTTTTTTTCTTCCTACAGAATAAGTGTATGGTTACACCACACATTTTTATTTAGTAAACGCTGCAACCTACTTTAGCAGGGCGTCGCGTGTATTTAAATTTACCTATTAAATTGCAAGTTGACGATCGGCAGTACGTCAACAACCGTCCTTCTGAACACCAAATACTCAAGGAAAGATTTGCCACTCTAACTTTATTAACTATTTTACTTTTAATTAAACTTTTAACTTTGGTGATCTTTTCCTTTTGATATGTTCACCAACCAACTACAACTCTACTTCTAAAAAGTGTGTGGCCCTACAAACCATATAATAAGAATTAATAAGACATTGTTCACATTGTTCAGACAGTTTCCAAAATTGTAACGCAAAGGAGTTGGGCCACATTGCAGCTATTTGATACTGCAAAATGTTTTTATCCTTCCTTCACATTTTTACACTTGTTAATTTCAGATTAGGTACATTATTTACTTATTACCTTGACGACTCCGTGACGCAGTGGCTTAACAATGAGTGACTGCGCTGGGGGCCGCGGGTTCGAATTCAATTACAAGTAATTGTTCCGGGTCTGGATGTTTGTCCTAGTGCAATATATGTTTGTAAACTGCCCCTACGATACAAGAGAAAATCTTAGTGTTAGGGTTAAGGTTTTAAAAAAATTACTTTTACTTAACTTTAACCTTAACTTACCGAACCTAAACTTAATCATTTACATTGCTAAGTTAGGTTCGGTAAGTGTTCAGGAAAGAGCTAAGGGTCTGGTACCTCACCGGTCTCCGCCTTCCACTGCCTCGCGCTGCTGGGGCTCGGCGAGCTGGCTGGCTGATTAGGTGACTCGAAGGGATATAACCCTGTCTCTCCGAATAGAATAATCCATAGGTCACTGGCACAGTATCTTCGGGAATTGCTTAGTACTCGTTGTAAATTAAAAGGGACACGCACAATAATTTTTCGAAAGAGCAAAGTTCATAACGCTTCGGCGTACGGCGCGCAAGTGACTCAGCCGTTCGGCCAATCAGACGCAAGTGCTGCTTCTAGCCTAAAAAGGATTGTTACCAGACCAAGAATTCCATAAATCCCTATTAATTTAGTAATTGTTGCCACTCGAAAGTTTATAAGAAAATAACTATGTAGACAAATAAATATTAATTTAAAAAATATGGTTCCAGTACGGAACAGTAAGTTAAGGTTAAATCAAATTACGTGGCAGATAAGTGGCAATATTCTTAATGACCAAAGTTTGAAGTTGTAAATAATGTACTTTAAATAAGTGTTAATTAAATTAAGCCCCATTTGACTTGTCATAATCATTTTGTCCAGGCATTATAAATATTGCACTGTTTAATCACTTGGTCCATAACATATATAGTACTTTGGAATTTTGATTGCGTGATTTAGACTTTCATACAGATGTGTCTGAGAGCTTGTTCGCTTGTTTCCAGCTCGTCGCTCCTGTGCTTGCGGACGCACGAGGAGTGACGCTCGCAGTCTCCGAAGGCTCGGAGAGATCCTGGGCTTCTCCATCGACATGCTCCACAGAGACATGAAATACCTGCTGGAGTCCGGTGAGTTGTGGTGTTCTACTTTGTCTTCGTTAACTTTAGCTCGGAAGAATACTGCTGTGCTTCGTATGGTGAGCGTAGAGAACCGGACACCTTTTTTTTACTGGATATAGGCATTCCATTTTAGTCCTTAGTGGTGACAACGTATTTAGATTTTGATTCCTAATCGATGATAGACGTAGATGTGTATGAGCCACGGTATCCACTTACCATCAGGTGGACTGTGTGCTTGCTGATCACCTCATTATATATTTATAGTACCCGGTTGACCGAGCTTCTCGGTATTTTTCGCTCGGTTGTTTTTAATTCGTGTGTTTTGGAAATTATATTTAGATAAAAATTACATACTGATGAAATACGAATAATATTTTTTGATCTTAGCGACATAATAGAAAAAACTGAACTTGTTATTTGAATAAAAATCATGAGTGCAATTAGTTTAATTTAAATTTTCGTGTTTTTAAAAAATACTAAAAAAGGGCTCGATAAAATAGATTATCTCAAAAAAGAAAGGAACTTGAAAAAAAAATTAAAAAAAGTCGGTCGGTCGGTCTGGGCTCGAACCAGGGTATTACGATTCTGTCACCGCCCAATATACCAAGGGTATGTTCCGAAATACAACGCAGTGTACTGTTCAATGCAAATGACGTCATCATTTGACACTTTATTTTACTAGCGTGCCGCCGCCATATTGTGTCGGATATCCGGCCATAATAAAACAATTTTTAATTGTGTGTTTGCCGAATGAAGCATGCCAGAATTTGTTTCTATTTATTCGAATACAAAAAATTATAGAATAATTGATGGTATATCCATTAGGAGGATATAATGATTTTTGAAGCGCAAAATGACAAAATAATCGCCAACACCTTTTCAAGTGACGCAAAAGTATGACGTCATATACTGTCCAATGTTTTGGAACGAATCACCAGTATAGCGTCGATTCATGACGTCATTTGCATTGGACAGTACACTGCGTTGTATTTCGGAACATACCCCAATTAAGCTATTTATAATCATTAATTAACTGTCAAAATTTACCTTTTTATTCTAACGATATTGTAGCAGTATTTCATTGCCTAAAAACACGGACAAAAAGACATTTTCTAAAAATAAATCCTAGCTAGATCGAGTTATTGCCCCCGAAACTCCCTGGACACAAAATTTTATGAAAATCGTTGGAGCCGTTTTCGAGATCCCGATTATATATATATATATATATATATATATATATATATATATATATATATATATATAACACGGATATATATATATATATATATATATATATATATATATATATATATATATATATATATATATATATATATATATTGGTTGCTGCGGCCTATAGACATCTACATCTATCCTCGATTACAAATCAAAATGCAGATGCACCCATGAGGACTAAGATGGAATGCCTCGTTTCCAGTAAAAAAAGGTCTCCGGTTCTCTACAGTCACCATACGAAACACAGCAGCAATAAGCTGCTATTTGAAGCTGGTGTTCTGTGAGAGCGTGGTCCTGCCCCGGCGAGCCGATTCATTCGTGCTACAACTACAGATAGCGCGCGAGTTGAATTCAGAGCTCAGGAATGCGATAGGGCATCGTCGAAGCCATGCCAATCTTCCTCTGTGACTTGAGAGAGAGCTATATTTTCGCCATTTACCGTGCTTGGCGATGAATAAAAACTCGTTTTTTTGTAACAGAACTTGACGTACACGGATCAGACATCATTAAAAACAAAAATAACACGCGGCTGCAACTTTATATTAACACGATAATACAGTAAGCGTATGATAGTTGTCAAGGGCAGCACAGCACTACACTGCTGGCGCGCGAGACTCGGCGTGCGGACGGCGGGGGAGATGCTCCCGCTCTTCACCTCAGGCCCCGACGGCATTCAACTCGCGCGCTATCTGTATAGTATTAATATAACTGCAGCATGGCTCTACCACGTATAAATATATATAAACAAAATATTGGAGTGTAACGCTGGGGTCTGGCGGGCGCAGGGGAGCAGAGCGACGCGCGGCTTGTGTTCCGGTTGGAGGGCGGCGGCGCGGCGTACGGGTTCCGCACCGCGCTCGAGCTGCCGTGCCACCGCCTCGTGCTGGCGGCGCGCTCTCGCTTTTTCCGGTGAGTCATTGTCGTGCACACTGCATACTACTCACCGCACACTAATCTGCGCACTGTACACTACGTACTACA